AGCAGCTCCTTTGATGAGGACTGAGAGCTACCCTTATCTGGATGTATCTGAGTATAAAGATTGGAAGTTACAAGGTAGTTAGGGATGATACTGGTTTAAGAAAGTGTCACTACTAGGTTCTCCTATAAGAGTTATACCTCTGTGGATAATTGGCTAGGTTTATTCTATCAGACATGATTCCCTTCCTGATTAATTAGCCAGTTCGTGTTTACTGTCAAGATGTAAGTACCACTGTTGCATCTTTACAGATATCATGCTGTGTGGGCCATTGCTATGGTCATAGGTATTATAGCTAACTAGGAATATTGGATGCTTTCCTCCCCTGGCAGCTTGTGTGGTACCTTCTGGTATCATGAAAGCTAGTCCTCAGGAAGGGAGTATTAGGTTCACATTTAGGTTGATTCTTCTGAGTCTTGTGTCTGCAATGAAATAGAGACTTGCTCTTAACGTCTGGGAGAAGACCCAGAGCAATAGCAATAGCCTATTGCTTCAGAAATCTCTTAGACTCTCTAGCCAACAACATGAAAGTAGTCTCTTATGACTAATACTGGGATTTTCATTAGATAGTCTATGCTTTGGGGAGAAAACAAAATATTAAATATACTAAAAAGAAAAAAGGTACAAAACATGTACAAGTATATTAAATATTTATTACGTTTTTATCTTATGTTGACTCATGGTATTTAGCTTTCTTTTACTACCCAACAAGTAGAAATATGTTAAGAGCAAAACCCCTAAAAGAAATACACTTGATACATCCACACCTCGTCTGCTAAAAATCATTATCCATGAAATAACTTTGACACTGAATAAGTGTGTAGTTTATCACTTATCAAATAATGAAAGAGGAATATTAAAGTAGATGTTGAAAGATATTTCTTAAAAGGTTAATCTTTATTTAAAACATTTTTATTAAGGAATGGGAAGTTTAAGAGAAAATTATAACCACACCCCTAAAGCTTCAGTATGTTCAAAAAGAAGAAGAATACAGAAGAGGAAGACCATTTTCCATCGTTTTTAATGTTAAAAATAATTCTCTGACAAGAAGAAGGTACACACTGCACTATAGTTTCCAAAGGAGACTTTCTTATCCACACTGCTGGATAGGTTCTTTTCCATATATCTGCACACCAGTAGCCTCGGAGACAGGAATACTGTCAATTTAGTTATAAAGTTAATTATTATATAATACAAATTAAAATTTCCAGATATTTAATGTTTATTTCAAGGTATTTCAGAGACCAAAAAAAACCATGTTATGACTTTTTTTTAAAAAATCTAATATCTTTACAATAATCTTTCTCACAGACTTGCTTTTCACATGTAAGAGTTCTACAGATGTGACGCTGTCTGAAACAGTAAGCATTGCAAGTACATGACACCTCGAGGATACAAATCAGATTGGGACTGGAGGTCTTCCCAGCATCACTGGTGTTATGTATATGCGTGTCTATTACTCCAACTCCTTTCTCTGTCACATTCACAGCTCAGAAATCTTTACTTCCCACGTATACATAGATCTCTATATGCATTGTTTTCATCTCCTGAACCTTATAAAAAGGAACTAACCTCCCTCCAGAATGGGCTGTTTGAGCTGGGAGAAAATTGCTGCATAACAGCACTGGAGACTCCTAGCAAAGTCTCCTTAGAGCTCACATCCCTCCCCATCCATCAGTGCCCATTTCCCCAGATGAAAGAATTTCAGAATAGAGTTCACAGTCTTGCATCTAGGGCAGCTGGTGCCTCTTTGCATTCTGCCACTTTTGATGGTGGGTCCAGCTTTCTTATACAATTGTGTCAACCCAAAGCCCCATGCTCAGAAGCCAAATATAGGAAATTACTAAATGAAGCAACAATGATAGGAAAGGACTCAGACTAGCAAGCAAGCATCTTCCCTGGATAAGGACACCCACAATTATTCCTCTGTGTGAGGACCCACATCTAACATGGCCAGGTCTCTTGTATGTGGTTTTATACTGCTGCTATAACAATCATAGTGCCTTAAAACATCACAAATAGATTGTTTTACAGTTCCAAAGGTCAGAAGACTTTTCTATTCCTATTTTAACAACTACCAGCATCCCTTAGTCTAGAGGCCTTTCCTCCAATCATGTTTAGGACAGACAAGCATCTCTCTCTGGCCTCCAACTTCTCTTCCTGTAAGAACCATGTGCTGACACACAGATCCACCTGACAATACAGGATAACCTCCTTGGCTCAAGGTCTTAATCACTTCTGCAGAATTTCTTTTCTGTGGAAGGTAGCATATTAATTAGGTTCCAGAGGCTTGGAGGTAGGCACCTTGGGGAGAGGCCTGTGGTCTATCTGTATGTTAATATGTAAGCTAGCAAATAATTCTTAGGTTTGTAGCACTATGAATGCTAGTCCAACAGTTGTCTACAAGGAACTGAGAAGAGAGACTAGTTCTTCAGTCTATGAATGCTGACATCTGATTTAAATAATCTGGTTTTTGTTTGTTTGTTTGGTTTTGTTTTTTGCTTCAGCTCCAGCCTCTTGCCTTTGTTCATTTGCATACAATGACTTATAGACTTCTTGGTTACTAAGGAGCTGGGCAAGCAGTTTTGCTCCTAGACCTATGCCTATTTTTCTCCTCCTACTTAACAAAAATTAATGACATGTTTATGTATTATTTCTTATTCTTTGAAAGTTTGATACATTTTCAAAGGTTAAAAACCATCATTTAATGTGTACATGCACTATATGTGTGCAGGAGCCTGAAGAGACCAGATACAGTGTGGGTTTCCCTGGGACTAGAGTGACAGGTGTTTGTGTGCCACCATGTAAGTGCTGGGAACTAAGCACTCATCCTCTGTGAGAGCAGTAAGTGCGCTTAGCCTCTGAGCGATAGCCTTAGGCCCAGTTTCATATGTTTACACAACATATACTGAAAAGCTTCATCTGTCACTTCCACTCTCCCTCCCTTCCTCTTGTCTCTCTTCTCCCCACCTGTCAATTTCATCCTAGTTTTATATTTTAGCAACAAACATTTATTGAGCTCTTTTTCTAAGCACTCCATATGCATTAGATCTTTCAATTCTCACAGCAATCTCTGTCTCCCCCCCAGGGACTGAACTAGGGACCCCAGGTGTACATGTGCTCTACCACTGCTTTACAGTCCCAGCCCTCAATTTTAATGTCTGTTTTGTAGATGAAAAATTTGAAGCTTAGCATTGCCAAGCCACACATATCATAGAGGGAGTCTGAATCAAGTTGCTGGAATCTTAGCCTTCAAGGAGGCAACAGGCTAATGCATGGTGGATACTAACAACCCTTTCACTTAAAAACCAATGAGCTCTCACCTTACCTTTTATTTGAGATGAGATCCCACTAAGTTCTCAGGCCAGCCTTGAATTTCTGATCCACCTGGCTTAGTCTGCCTGTGTCTGCACCACGCTTGCTTTTTTATTTACCTGTTTGTTCGTTTGTTTGTTAAGATGTGTTTCACTGTACTGTCTAGGGTTGTCTTGAGCTCTCAATTTGCCTGCCACAGCTTCTCAATTGCTGAGATTACCGGCATGCCCCAGCAGGTCCAGCTTCTCTTAGTTCTTGTTAGAAATAACATATGATGTTGCATTTTCAAAGGTGCCTCAAGCTATATCTTATGTCCAGCTAGAAATGAACAGAGAACACTAAAGCTGTGTTAGTGCCTGCTTAGACAAATTTCAGCTATTCTTTCCCCACCCAAACTACGCTAAGATACCCTGCCCTAACTCACAGCCAAGCTTGCTTGCAATGCCATGCAGCTGATGAGTTTTAAATAGGATGCAAAAATGTAGAGATGAGCCTGAACATGTTTGTTGTTGTTGTTGAAAACCAAAGAGACAAATGTAAATGACAGAGGGAAAGATAAGATCTAGATGCTAATAGGATTGTCTCCTTCCTGGTTATCCTAAAAAGAGGAAGAAGGATCATACATTCAGGGTCTATATTACTGCTCTCAAATGGCTTGCGTGCCACTCTAGGCTGATGCCTGGCCTTGCACGGTTGTAAACAAAGCTGCTTTGCTTTCATGTCTATGAGTCTCCAGTACTCTCATGGAGTGAGGATCATTGTTTCGCACAGTCCATTTAATCATCACACTGACTCTTTGGAGTGTATGGTATTATTCCCATTTTACAGAGGAAAGACTTTACAAAGTGGGTAACTCACATTTCTGTCTCCACTTTGAGGAAACTGCAGCACCAAGGTTTGGAAACCTGCTAAGGTTGCAGTGTCCACATATTGGCTTATACAAGCATCATATCACAATCATGCCAGAGTATCCATTGCTTAAATTCACATTTTATATATAACTTATTTTTAAAACCCTAAATGAATAAAGAAAGAGTCTTACTATGGTGTAGAGTAGAAAACCTGTATGGATAACTGCATCCTGTGACAATGATATCTCTAAACTCAGTTGTCTGCATGAACTTAAAGTCAAGGTTTATTCTATTTCAAAAAGTAGAGATTATCAAGTGTAAGAAGGGTTAATGTTTATTAGCACCAAACTGAGACTTTGTTGTTGGTGAAATCAGAACTGAAAGAGAAGTTAAAAGGCAGTAATTTTCTCACTAAGTGAAAGTGAATGGGAGTTCCCCCTTTGTACCACTTGAAGTATCCCCAGGGAAACCCACTGGCTCAGAAACCAGCTCAGAGAAGTGGTTCAGGGGGCTACGATACCACACTGTTTGTTGGCAATCCATGCCTGAGCAAAGGGTCTAAATACCAGAAGGACTGTCACTGATAAAATGCTGATAGCCTAGTGTCACTTCAAAGGGATCATAATGCAGTAAACCACCAAATTTAGAGCATAGTATATAATGGATAATCGGAAGCCACTGTCATTGTCACACTTTGCACACAGGTTTCTGGCTTTTTTGATGTAAGACCATAAAATTTGTCACAGAATAAAAAGTGGTGTTTATTCTAAGCCATAGACGTTAGGAAGTAGTAGAAACTTGTTCTTTAATTCTGTAATAATTTTTTCTCATGCCTAGGTCGCCCCTGGTTAAATTTTTGCCCTAAATGAAGAATCGCGGTCACGACCACGAGAAATTCTCTTCCTGACTTGTGCTTCCCTTGGGCACTGTCACCCCGCCAAACATCGAAAGAGAGCCGGCGCCAGGCCCCGCCTTTTCCTGTCCCGCCCCCGACTAGCGCCCATAGCCACGCCTCCAACGCAGCGATCCTCCGGATTCGCGGATCCTTGCGGGACTCCCTTTCCGGCGGCGCGCTTACGTCACAAGCCCTGCGCCTTCCGCGCCTCTTCGGGCCTGCGTTCGAGCGGAAGGTCGTCCCTGTGACCGGCTAGGTGTTTGGAGCCGCTGTCGCCATGTTGTCGGTCGCTGCCCGCTCGGGCCCATTCGCGCCCGTCCTGTCTGCCACGTCCCGCGGGGTGGCGGGCGCGCTGCGGCCCCTGGTGCAAGCCGCGGTGCCCGCCACCCCGGAGGCTCCTGTTCTGGACGTGAAGCGACCCTTCCTGTCCCGAGAGTCTCTGAGTGGCCAGGCCGCGACCCGGCCTTTGGTCGCCACGGTGGGCCTCAATGGTGAGCCGGCTTCAACGTGCCCCGATTTCGTTCCCTGCCGTTCCGGGGCCGGGGCGGTGGAGGAGGGCGGTGTGCTGGGATGTGGGTCTCGGGGCCGAGTGGGACGATGCGGTTCCGGCCTCAGCGACCTTGGCAGGCCGAGCGCCTCTCGGAGCAGGCGCACTCACCCGGACCGAGGGCCTCCGGGATGCTCCCGCGGCTGCATCCTCCACTCCCCACCCACCTAGGCCTCAGGAGCTTGTCTGCACTCAGGCTGCACTTGACTTCCGTGCTTAACTTCAAGACTAAGCCTCCCACTGTCACCCTTGCTAAGTGACAGATACTGTTGCTTACAGGAGTTTGACCTTGGGCACATTTCCAAACGTTTTTCCTCACGGGTGAGGTGAATTCGCGATTGTAACAATTTTGATGTCAGGAGGCTTATGTGAGAGAATTCTATGTAAAATCATCGGTACCGTTTAGACGATAACTGTTCAAAATAGAAATTGTAAAAAACCACATAGGAAGTTGAGTACTAGTACAGTTAGCGCCTTAACTCCCCAGCGACCCATTCCCATTCCCCCATTTTTTACAAAAACAATAAAGGAAGGCATAACCCCTATGTCAGTTCCACTGTAGAGGGTCAGCAGCATTTCAGATATCTGGCTCCTGTAGCTAGGGTTTTCACGAGCCCTGGCTAGTGAAAGAGGCAAAGGTTGATGCTACTCTTACAGAAAACAGACCACCAGAGGTGAAGTGACCCCCATGGTGGGGATTCTGTGCAGTGTGGTCGTCTTCCAAGTTTCCCTAAATCTGTGCTTGGTCTGACATTTCTTGTGATTTAAAACTCTAGAACGATTTCGTCTGTCTCCCACGTTATAGGAAGCTGCACTGGGCTCTCTGGTTTCTGCTTCCATAGTTGACTCTGGTTCATCTCACAGTCATCATTGTGTTGTTACCTACTTGGCACCATTCAGTGTTGAGTTTCTGACCTTTCTGCATGTTAATCAAATTGCTTGCCTGGGTAGCTGTTTGCTCTGCATTTGTTCACCCACCCTACCCCTCTTTTTCTCTCCTCTTTTTTTTTTTTTTTTTAATCCTTTTGAAGCAGGGTCCCACTGTGTAGCCTAGGTTGGCCTCAGACTCATGATCTTTCTGCCTCTGCCTTCCCAAGCCTGGGATTATGAGCATGAGCTACTATGCTTAGTTTTCCCGAAGATTTAATGATCAGTGTTGTGTTTTTGTTTTTGCTTTTTGTTGGTTTTTTTCATAGCTATATTTTAGCCTTTAACCTTAATTTCAGGTCAGATTCAGAATTTTACGTCTGCTAATTCCTTTATGTCTTTATAACATGTTAACACTTTGCATTCTATAGTTGAGACTTCTGACCTTGGTTTTAAGGGGCTAGAAAAGCTCCTTAATTTTTGCCTTCCAGTGTCAGGTTTTGTAGAAACTGGAACAAGCTTTTTTCTGAGTAAATGTGAAAGAGCACTAGTGGGTCTTTGATAACCGGTTCAGGACAGAAGTGAATACCCAGGTCTGTTGAGTTGGGGAGTGGGAAGGTGAGTAATGAGGCAGGAGGGATTGCAGGAATTGCTGTCTGCAGTTTGTCAGATAGCCCTAAAGGTTTCTTAGAAAGACTTCATAAAAGCACTTTCCAAAGCAGACTGTCAAAACAGCCAAAACCTTTTTCTGACAGCATATTTACCTTGTAGCTTAATTGAGCATTAAAATCCATCCAAGTGTCTTATGGAAAGATAGGTAGTGACAAAATGGGTGGGTTTGGGTTGGAAGATTCATGGAGGAATAAGTTTGCATTATAGTAGCATCCTTTCCATGCAGATTTCTAGGTACATTGACTCTACAACTGCAAACGATTGATATGCCTTAGATTTCCTTTATTTCTTTTCGAGATATTTCCATAATTGATAATGATAATACTTAAGGTCAGAATTAAATTAAGCATGCTTAATATGCTTTGTGAAAATTGCAAGAGAATGACTTTTGCAACATGGCAGTTTCCTAAATGTTCCTTGGTTAGTTATGTGACCACATGAGATATAACTTCCTATACAGAGATCAGTTGATAACTATATTTCTCTTGTCACCATAAGATTTTTTTTTTGGTCTGTGACTCAGAATGAGTCATTCTGTGTAGTATTCTTAATTATCTTGTATTGTCAGGCTGGTGGTTGTGGATAGTTTTGAATGCAGAGCTGTGAACTTGGCTCTTTCCTGTTTTAGGTAGATAACACATTTTTTAGTGTAATCCCAGGCGATGTCATGGGGAAGTAATTCTTACTTGATCCCAGATGTTTCTCTATACCATCCCATTGATATTAGGTAGGATAATGCATAATATAATGTCAAGGGATTCTGCAAAGTCCTAATTGTGACTCAGTTGCTACTACTCATGTCCTAGTTCCCTCCCCCAAAGGATTGAGTTGGCAGAAAAGTAATTTTGATAGGTTTCATTCTTGTTCAAATTTGTAACTTCTGTAGTTTCTCACTTTGAAGTCATGTGAAAAGTAGGTGAAATACTGATATTTGGGTATTTAAAGAAGTCTTTTAAGATGAAAACCTCAAAGACCAAGGTAGCATTGGCCTTGTGTGTTATAACTAGATATTCATTTTGAAAGGATATATTTTTCTGAAAATGGAGACTTAATAACGTTCTTTTTTTCCCTAAAAAGTAAATCTTGTGGCAGTTCCTAAAACATAAACTTTATAATAATACATATTTTCATATATTTGTAGGACAGATTTTTATTCTATATGTGTTATTTTGTGAGGAAATTTACTTTCTAAACATAGTTAAAGAATCTTGCTAGTGAGTTCATTGTTTTTGTCAGAGATTTAGGAATGGCATGAGAGAGGACATGCTACTGCTGCTTTCAAACTATGTGTAAGCAGTAAATATTCTTAAATGTCTGTTCATTTGTCACAGATATTTAACCCATTTTATAACCTACAGAGAGGGTTCACAGTATAAAAAATAATTTTTTCATAGATGCTGTTGTCGTGATGAAGGGGGAGATATATAAAAATTGCCCCACTTTCCCCTTATTAAATTGAATAATTACTTTGTAGATTCCATTGAGTGTTGCTTCTTCTGATAAGTTTGTTGTTCTTTGACTGTCGGTGGTTTTATTTGGATCTTCTAGTATAGATACAGGCTAGGTGTTTTGTCTTCAGATGACCACACAGCAATTGTTAAGTGGGCTAAGTGCATTTTGAGACCTAATCTACAGAGAATGAGAAGTAATTAGCTAGATGGGTAGTCTGTCTAAACAGTTGATTTGAAAAAAAAAAACTTGAAATATATGTTTATTGTGTTATTTGCCATTGTGACTCAAAGTCTTTCTGATGTGTGCGCCTTCCAAGACATTCCTTTAATTGTGGTTTTCACCTGTTTGTCTTGCAGTTCCTGCTTCTGTTCGTTATTCCCATACAGATGTCAAGGTGCCGGACTTCTCTGACTACCGTCGTGCTGAAGTTCTAGATAGCACAAAGTCTTCTAAAGAGAGCAGTGATGCTAGAAAAGGCTTCTCATATCTGGTAACTGCAACTGCTACTGTGGGTGTTGCATATGCTGCCAAGAATGTGGTCACCCAGTTTGTTTCCAGCATGAGCGCGTCTGCTGATGTACTGGCCATGTCGAAGATTGAGATCAAGTTGTCTGATATTCCAGAAGGAAAGAACATGGCTTTCAAATGGAGAGGCAAACCTCTGTTTGTGCGCCACAGAACCCAAAAGGAGATTGCCCAGGAAGCTGCCGTTGAATTGTCCCAGCTAAGGGATCCACAGCATGATTTAGAGCGAGTAAAGAAACCGGAATGGGTTATTCTCATAGGTGTCTGCACTCATCTTGGTTGTGTACCCATCGCAAACGCAGGAGATTTCGGTGGCTATTATTGCCCGTGCCATGGGTCACACTATGATGCCTCTGGCAGGATCAGGAGGGGCCCTGCGCCTCTCAACCTGGAAGTGCCTACCTATGAGTTCACCAGTGATGATGTAGTTATTGTGGGTTAGACACTGGACTCGGCCTAGGCTTCTTTCAGTCTTCCTGTCCCATCAGAAGAGTTGAGAGTAAGCCTTGTGTACTTCTAGGTTGGTTGATTTAAAATATTTAAGAATTGTGAATAATGTATTGGCAAACATTAATGTGAAGTAATTGAATTCACTCTTAAATATTGTCAAGCATTATCGTAATAAAGCCACTGTAGAGCATCAAATTCAGTCACAGACTTGAAAGGTGCAATGTCTTTAATAGCTAATTCTAATAAAACATTACAGATTGTTGTACAAGATATTTGTGAAATCTGTAAATGGCCTTCTCATTTATCTAAATTTCTCTCATATCTTGAACTTGAAAAGAGGTGGGGGCATCATTTTTTACTTCCAAGTTGATGGCAAAGGTTATTTTAATGTCAAATGTTTTTGTTTTGATAGTTAAACTTTTCACAGTTGTGAGAATAGTCAGAGATAAAAGGTAAAAATACAGTATTTTATTGAAATATTTTCATTTTAAAGACAATTTTATTCTTTAGCCAAACTGGCTTCAAACTTGTAGTCTTGCTCTGCCTCCTGAGTGTAGGATTATAGGCATGTGACAACCCATCCAGTACTTAAATTTGTTTTCCATATCAAAAATAATGGAGCACTACCTTGAAAGCCTAGAAAAGATAAAGAAAAACAGAAATCATCAAAATCATATTCTACTCAAAGATAAACATTCCTGATTTTTGCATGTGTATTATTATAGCATTTTCAGAGTCGAATCCCTAAGCCTTTCTTAATAAGATTTATATCCCCTGTGCAAAACCAGTTACCTTGGGACTAATCTCCCTATGCTAAAGGAGAGAGCAGTCCATGAGGCTGCAGTTATCACATACAACCCTGAACAATTTGATCTGCAATCTATAAGCATTTGATTGGAAGGAGAATCTTTGTCACTGATAAAAATAAGTAAATAATAATCTTATTTGTCTCCTAAAGTGTCATAAGGTGCTGCCTTTAAAAGTCTTGGATCTGCTTTTAGCCAGGCTTCCCAGTTAATGTCTGGCATTTTGCATCTGGTCTGCCCCAAATCCCTTGTATCTGACCTGGACAGAGTCCTGTCCTATCTTAAATTTGTTGAACTGATTTTCTTTTAAGTCACAACCCCCCCCCAAATTATTTAGAATTTTTAATAAACATGAATCACTTTGCTTATAGTCTTCCAATTGATGTTGGAGAGTTCTTTTTCCTACGTGGTAGTTTTCAGAAGAGAGCTAGTTATTATCAGTGGTTCTGTGAAGGTCTCCATATTAATTCTGATCACCAGGTATAACGGTAGTAGCTCTCATGTGCCCATTCGTAGATCTTTCCAAGTTGCTTCAGTGGGCAGCATAGTCCATCCAGAAGCTGGGCTGGTTACCTAAGATAAAGTTGCAGTCAGCTGCCTGAGTCTCCTCAAGTACCGACAGGTGTTAGGGTCACTGACATAGAATGCAACACTTTGCTCTCCTAGTCACCTGCTGAGAACCCAGGACAGTGATACAAGGTAGGACTGAAACTGTGAGCACTGTTAGGTAAGCCTGGATTTCTATTCAGTAGCCCTCAGGGCTCCACTACCTAGAAATTTAGAGAAGAGCGTATTGATTTAGGGGACCTGAAACCCTACTTCAGCTTAGAGACATTTGGAGGAAGAGAGGTGCACACTTGCTTATGGGTTCAGTGTGCCCATCCAGCCTTGGGCTCGGCAGCTGCCACTTTTTCTGCCTCTCCAGCATGCATTTAGCCATCGAACAAACCTGTATCATGTAAGCCAATCAAGTAAATCCCTTTTCCATATGTTCTTTCTGCCTTTTCTGTTCTAGGAAATGCTGACTAATACAGGGGGTTTATTTAACCTGTTGAGAATTTCAATGCCTCATGCAAAAAAATGGAGTCTTCTATTGACATGTACTATTTCAATGGCAAACATGATGGTATACATGTTAAATGCCCCCATAGGCTCTTGTGCTGAATTCTTGACCCCAGCAGGTAGCTGTGGGACCTACCTGAAGGTGAGCTCTGGCTGGTAGGTCACTGGAGCTAGGCCTTTGAGAGTTGTAGCCCCACCCATAGTTATGGCTACCCTCTGCTTTCTGGTCTGCTGTGTTGTGAAAACATTCCTGCCACCATGGACTGGGCTGCTCCAACCTACCTTTGGTTCCAGCCTCCACAATTGCATTTCTGTGATCTAGGCATCAGAGTTAGGTCATCATGGTGTTCTTAGTACAGTTGACAGATGTCAGCTTTGTCAGGTGGGTGTTTGGATCTTTGTCAGGTTATGGGCCAGATAAATGGTGCTTGGTTTCCATTGTTGGGGCCACTGGGGTTTTGGGTTCAGACTTTACAAGTGGTACTGGATCAACATAATGGGTAGGGTGGTTGATAGTTATACAGGTAAGTAAAGGGGACTGGCTTTGGTCTATCTCAATGGGTCAGGCTCCAGGCTTTCCAGGGACCTAGCATTGGGTTGGGGTGGCAGACAGTTGAGATGAACTGACTTTGGGAGTCCCTACCTGAAGTTCTGGTTCAGACTCCAGGTTTGGACCCCAAGCTGTCCTATCACAGATTGTTGGAGCTGGTGAAACGACTGATAGGTGAGTAGGTGGTGGTGAGGGGCACTGGCTGTGGAGGTCTCTAGGATTCCAGGTCCCGCCCCAGATGGTCCTAGGCCATTGTGGGTAGAGTGGCTTACAGTGGGGGGGTGGGGGGTGGGGTGGGTTGAGTTGTGGTCTTGCTGTGGGAATTCCTTCCTGAATTTCTGTTTCAAACTCCAGAAACATTTTTTATAATAACTAAATGGAAATTTTAGGTTCCATTGGGTAGTGTCTTACTTAGGGTTACTGTTGACGTAGTGAAACACCACGACCAAAAGCGGCTTGGTGGGGGGAGGGGGAGTATTTCACTCAGTTACATTCAGCAGTCAAAAGCAGTGAAGGCAGGAAATTAAGCAGGGCAGGAACCTGGAGGTAGGAGCTAATATGGAGGCCATGGAAGGGTGCTGCTTACTGGCTTGTTCAGCCAACTTTCCTATAAAACTGGACCACCAGCCAGGGGCAGCAGAGGAGTCCTCCCCTGTCAATCACTAATTAAGAAAAGCCCTCCAGGCTTGCCTGCAGCCTGATCTTTCTCAATTGAGATTTCCTCCTCTCATGTGTCTCTAGCTTATGTCACAAAGGTAGCCAACACAGGTTTCGTCATCTGTATGGGGCTAGCATATAAATGGTTAGGTGGACAGTCCATTGTTGTGTTGAACAATGAGTTTATTAAGAAACTCATTTCCTCTTGGCACTGGCCATGTGTCATGTTAGGTTGTAACCTGGGTCTGCTAACTGAAGTGGAGTTCTCCAAGGGAATGTCAGAAGGCTCTGAGGCAGCTGGGCTTTGTTATGGCTTGTTTTTTATGGTTAGATCAATTCTAGCTCAGAGTTAGCAGTGGCCTCACACTACTGACCCTTCCATGAGACTATAGTGGCCATGTTCTAATGCTAAAGAAGCTCCTCACACAGCCATTGTCACACAGCTAAGTGTGTACTTAAGCTTCTTAAAGTCTATAAAAGGAGCAACATATATTTGGATCTGTTAATAAATATGACCCACTGTAGGACTGATATGGCAAATAATTCAAAATTACTTTCTTCTTGGGTCTTCACTGTAAACTATGGTTACTAAATTTTTAAATTTACATTGACAGTTTTCTTTGCAGAACAAAATAAAAACTTACTAAAATGTAAAACATTATGTAATGTTCTTTTATTAGGAAAACTAATTTGAAGATTTCTTAAAATAGTTTTTCAAAATATAATTTTGGGACAAAGTCTGTAGCACAAATTCTAATTGCTCTTAATAATGAAGACTCAGATTCAGATATTGGGGTTAAAGCTAAAAAACAGAGAAGCAAAGCGGCCAGCCACTAGAGAGTTCTTACCTCTCCCAATGCTCAGACAGAAGGGGCGATCCACTGAACCTCAGATTGCATCTCCAGACTGCACTGCTCTGCACCAAGCCTCAGACTGCTTCCTACTGCACTGTTCCTCAGATGGCCATGAGCTCCTGTCTCCTCCCACTTTATATTCCTCTCTTGGCCCAGCTGTTTCACTCCTGTCTCCACCTCCCTAGTGCTGCAATTAAAGGTGTGGAATCCCAAGTGCTGGGATCACCTTTTTGTGAGCTGTTTCTCTTATAGACTGGATCAACTTTGTGTAGCTCAGGGTGGCCTTGAACTAACAGAGATCCGTCTGCCTTTGTCTCCTGAGTGCTGGAATTAAGTGTGTATCACCACTGCATGGCCTCTGTGGCTAGCTACTGTGGCTAGCTTTGCACTCTGATCTTCAGGCAAGCTTTATTTGTTAGGTCATAAAATATCACCACAAAAGTCTCTCTACATAGCCTGGCTGGCCTGAAATTAACTATGTAGACCAGGATGGTCTCCAACCCACAGAGATCTACCTGATTCTGCCTCCTGATTGCACTACAATGCCTGGCTTCAAAATGTAATTTAGAAAAAACCCAAAATAATTAAAAAGAAATCAATAATTAATAGAAAAAGGGTTCTAAGTAATAATATAACAAGAAATAAAAATAAGGTTTTGTATAAGAAAAATATAATAAAACATTTTATTCTAAAATAATATCTGTGACAGAAATATAGACTCAAGTAATTAAAAATTTTAAAGTATGGCCAGGTGGTGCACGCCTTTAATCCCAGCACTCGGGAAGCAGAGGCAGGCAGATATCTGTGAGTTCGAGACCATCCTGGTCTACAAGAACTAGTTCCAGGACAGCCTCCAAAGCCAAGAGAAACCCTGTCTTGAATCCCCCCCCCAAAAAAAAGTTTATAAAGTATGGTAACTAGAATACATCCTTGGAGAGTTTCTTATATATCAGTGCACTAATAGTATCTATTTCCCAAAGAATAGTACCTCTCCAAATCTGTAGGAACCTCACCTGAAAGAAACCTGTAAGACATTTACCAACAGATGCAGCTAAAGAGGAAAAGTTAGATAAGTAAGTAAATTAAGTAAGTAAGCTGCCTTGTTTGCAATTACTATTTAGTCTCCTGCAGGCAACCAAAAGGAAGGAAGAAGCCATCGTGAAGCATTCCCTCATCTGATACAAAAACAAGGGAACACTAGGAAATCTGGGACTAGAGAAGTATGTATTGTGCATGTAGGAAGGACATTGGAGGGAGGCCTGCCCAAGTCAACAACAGAGGGTTAGAGGACCAACTAGTACCCTCTTCGAGAAGACGGGGTTGATGGTGCCAAGGGGCATCCATTTGTCTCCCATTTGCACAGTTCAGATTTTCTTTGAAGAGACCAGCGTGGTTAGACACAGACACATCTAAAAATTATGCTGAGTTTTACCCCGTACTAGGGTCTCATCTAACCTGATTACTAAAAGGTGCACTCTGACCAAAAAGAAGGTAACCTAAGAAGGACACTGAAACAGGCAAATGATTTTTTGAATCTCTAGCCTGCAAAACGGGTTCAAAGCTTTTAAAGCATTGATTCCTGCGTGTTCCTGAGCCACCTATTCTTTTAAAAGAGATTCCCCCTAAATTTTGCGACAACCTTGTAACACAACAAATAAAATGACCCAGTGACTGATACTGGGGTTCAAGCTTCAAGTTGAAGAACAGAAAAGCAAAGCAGCTGGTCAATAACTCTCACCTCTAGCTCAGGCTGAAAGGACTGGTCCACCAGCTCTTCACCAAGCCTCAAACTGCTGCCTCTCCTCAATGTGGCTGGAGAATTTTGAGACTGAGCCTTCCTCTCCTCAATGTGGCTGGAGAATGAATGCCTGATACTGAGACCTCGCTCCTGTCTTATATAACTTCCCAATGCTGGGGTTAAAGGCATGCGTTCCCAGGTGCTGAGATCATCTTTGTGTGAGCTGTTTCTTTTAGGACTGGATCAATCTTGTGAAGATGTGGGTGACCTTGGACTCACAGAGATCGGTCTACCTCTTAATCCTGAATCCTAGGAATAAAATCCTAGCCTCTGGCTGCTGGGATTAAGGGTGTGTACCTGTCTTTTATGGGTTGTGACTGACTTTGCTTTTTGAATCCTCAGGCAAGCTTTAATAAGTCATAAATAATGTATCACCCCATAACTTGTACCACATGCCCACTTTTTCATATTTTGGAGATAATGACTAACCATTGACTGACAAGCAGACAGATGTTATAGTACCAGATCTAGTTCCTAGACGCCCTCATCTGGCTGTAAACTCTTGTCAGACACTGAGTACAGTCATTCTACCGCCTGTATCTCAAGACCCTCTAACAGATGGTCTGATCACTCAGAACCCGATCAGATAAGCCCAGAGACAAGGGGCTTTCAGAATTAACCGCTTGTAAATGCTCAAAGGTGTGGCTGGTTAACACCAATAACTGTAACCCACATTATTTGGACAAGACCACTGGAGAGACATCCCCAGTTCCCAGAACTTCAGCTCAAACCCTGAAATAATAAAAGTCTTAACTCAGGTGGACAAATGAGAAGGAAAGAAACATTAGTTCTATGTAATTTCCAAATGTTGTTTCCCAGTGATTCAAACTCGTGGAAAGCTAGAGCAAGAGGAAAAGGAGGCAGGGTATTTTTTCCACCTTACTGCAACAATTTTACAATTATAGAAAACCATAAAGAAAGATGTGAAGATTTCACTGAGAAAGCTTAAATGATTTTCCCCCCAAGGAAAATAGCTGAGTCTCAGCTTGCCTCCATTATCTCCATTTTCTGTTACAGAGAGTCCCCCTCCCACATTTGTTCTTGAGGATGCAAGATAGAACTGAAGACCCCAGCTCCCCCTACCACCCAAAACACACCATTTTCAAGAGAAAAGAGTCTCCAAGTTTCTTGGCCTCATACACATTATGGAAGTTGTGTTTCCATTTCTGTGAAGAATGTTGTGGGGATGTCTACTTGGGATTACGCTGAATCTGTACATTGCTCTTCATAGAATGGCCACCTTCCCAATATTACTAAACTAAGTAAAAACCAAGTGATAAAGGACACTTCATTGGAATCAAGGACCACATCTAGGCTTTCTCTCAGTCTCATTTCGTTTGATTTGCTAAGTGTCATCACATCACTGTGTCTATTTTATTTTAGCACAGACTTCTTTCTCCACAGTAGAAACCCTGTACCCCAATTCCTTTGTAACTTGGAGTGTTTTTATCATATCACTGTAACCACTGCCAGAGTCAGAAGTTTCCCTGCTGTTGGTTCACTGGGAATTCTGGACCACACTGTCTGCTTTATCCTTGCTTTCCAGTAGGGGGCAGCAGGTGACAGATGGATTGGTGAGGTTTAACTTTTTGTGTTGGTGTTTTTTCCTGGTGGCAAGTGAGAATTAGGATCTTAGTAATGCAGTTGATCAGAAAGTCACATGATTTATTTGTGTTTATGCTAACAACAGAATTTTTGTTTTCTCCAGACTATTGGGTTGCAGAAAGTAACTTCTTTTTTTGTCAGGAATTTCCAAAGTTTGATAATGACACAAACTGTATACTTAAGAACGGGACTGATAGCAAATCACAGCTCTTCTATGAAACATTTACACTATAATATCTGTAGCCTTGGGTATTCCAGCTAAGTATGGGGTGGAAGCTTATTTACAGTTGATATTTAAATGAGAAGTCCTTTTTGCCATTGAGATATTTAAGATACAAATGCCTGGTAATAGTGTACAAATTGCATATACATTAAGAGGTTACAAAGGACTTGTGGTTAGTAAAGAAAATACCAGGGAAATACATTTAACTTGGAGGATTTGGAGAAAGCAATGTCTACAGAGTAAAGATTTAATAGCTAGCATTCCTTTTGTCCTGAATAGTACATTGCTTAAAAGAAAAGGACTGTTTGTAAGTGTCAGGCACATTGTTTCTGTCCTCTGCCTCTGCCCCGTCCTCACTACACATGGAAGTCACTCAAGTGAACACCCGTGTCCTTCCGGCCAGAAGCAGTTTTGAAAGCAGCTTCATGGGAGGAGGGTGGCTACTCCTCTTTCGTTGTCATTGCCTCCACATTTCTGATCTGGGGCAGACAGTGCAGAGGGGCAGAGCATCTCTCTGCCTTCTGTTCAATCACCTGCTGTGACCCCATGTTATCACACTCATGGTCACTGGTAGATTGCATGCCTCCAACAAAGTTTGCAGGCTGTGGTGGGTGATTTTGATGCCAACTTAGTTGGATTAAGAACGACCAAGGAAGCCAGGGTGTGGTGGCGCACACCTTTAATCCCAGCACTTGGGAGGCAGAGGCAGATGGATCTCAGTAAGTTCTAGACCAGCCTGGTCTACAGAGTGAGTTCCAGGATGGCTGGGACTGTTTCACAGAGAAACCCTGTCTCAAAGAAATAAATAATAAATGAATAAATAAATGACTAACGTAAATAGAATAACAGGACATTAGTGAAGTACATTGCTGAGTTCATCTGTGAGCCTGTTTCCTGAGCAGTTTGATGAGCAGGGAAGGTCTAACCTCTGTCCTAGACTGAATACAAATGGATAAAAAGAAAGCCAGTTAAAAACCATCATTCCTTCCTACCCCTCGTGTTCCTGATCTTCTGGGAAAAACATGTCAAATCTATTGAAAAATCATGTTAATCCAGCTAAACACAATCAGCCACATAGCTACTAGGTAGTTTTTGGGGCATATCCTTCTCTTGTCAAAAATGTATCCTTGTTCACAGCCCAGCTTGAATATTTTAGTATGTTCTCTCTCACACATAAGAATTCCAGTTGTACATACTGAGAGGGGCTTTCTATGTAGGTCTGTCTGTCCTGACTTGCTGTGTAGGCTAGGCTGGCCTTGAATTCACAGACATCTGCTATGCCTCTTTCAAATGCCAAGATCAAAGGCATGCTCCACTCAACCCAGCTTGGAATCTAAAACTTCAATAAGGGCTATTTTGGACATGTCAGTTATTGACAAGAATGCACAATTGTCTCTTTCATTCTGGCAATGGCCTTCTC